TAGCCAAGTGCGACGAAACTTTAATCCTGGTGATGTACAGGGATCTTTTCAGGGCACCAAAGCCCTAAACCCTAAACCCTAAGCCCAAAACGCAAAACCCAAAAACCCAAAAACCCTAAAGCCCTCAAGCCCTAAACCCAAAACCCGAAAGCCCTGAACCCAAAACCTTAAAGCCCTATAGGCCTAAACCTGCTCACGCCGCAAGCCCTCAACCCCCAGCGCTCAACCCTAAACCCGGAATCCCAAGCCCATCAACCCCAGGCAGGTCGGTGGGTTTAGGGTTTGGGGTGAAGGGTCTAGGGCTTAGGGTTTAAGGTTTAGGGTTAGGGGTTTAGGGTTCAGGGTTCAGGCTCAAGGGTTTAGGGTTCAGGTTTCAGGATCAAGGGTTTAGGGTTGAGGGTTTAGGGTTCAGGGTTTAGGGTTCAGGGTTTAGGGTTGAGGGTTTAGGGATCAGGATTTAGGGTTTAGTTCTGATTTATGAACACACATTTGTTAGCCCAGCCGATCCTAAGCCCGAAGCCCTAGACCCCCTAAGCCCTAAACCCCAGACCTTAAAACCCTAGACCGTAAAACCCTAAACCGTAGCCCCAGACCCGAAACCAAGCTGTCTGAGGTAAAGATGCTGCTTCCCAGACGAGCGGCCATCGACGGGAAGAACAAAAACGGCCAGACTCTGAAATGCCGGATTTATCCGGAGCCTCACAGATTTTGGCTGGCCTAAAGCTCCCCGTAAACCCTAAACCCTAAAGGCACTTGTTTGAGACTCCTTTACCTAAACATTTAAGCTTTATATACCCTAAACACTCAACCTTAAAGGCTTTTATGTGGGACGACACTTGCTTGTATCCCACAGAAAGTCTTTTCGTCCACAGGATCGAGGGTACGCGTTTTAGGATTTTGGATTTTAGAGCTTACGGGGCTTAGCGTTTAAGGTCAAACCCTAATCCCTAAACCCTAAAACCATAAACCCTAAACCCTAAAACCGTAAACCCTAAACCCTAAACCCCTAATCCCTAAACCCTAAACCGGCGAGGCCTAGCTTTTATGTTTAGGGGTTCGCTTCAGGGTGTATGTTTCGGGAACCCTAAGTTTATAAGCCCTAAACCAAGCTTAAAGCCCCCAAAGTTTAATGTTGAAGCCTAAATACCAGTTACCAATACTATATTTTGGCGCCCCCTTCTATAAATATAGTATAAGATTACCCAAAACCCTATTCTAAGTCTCCAGGTATAACGTCCTCTATATCATAGAGCCCAATAATAGATCCCTTATAGAACCCTTTAACCAACCCCTTATAGAGCCCTTTGAAGGAGCCCAGAACCCTATTCCAATTATGAAAGGCCTTATACCTGTAGAAGCCCCTATGGAACCCTTTAGGGGACCCGTTTTTAGGAACCCCTAAACCCTAAACCCTAAACCCTTTCTTAGGAACCCTTTTATTATGGAGCCCTATTTCATTACGGTTTGGGGCTCAAGGTTTGCATTCGCCTTGGGGCTTTTAAATCACATCTCGGGTTGGGTTTAGGGGTCCGGCTTTGGGACCACCTTAGGGTTTGGGCTTTAGGGTTTAGGGTTTAGGGTTTTAGGGTTTAGGGTTGTTAGGGTTTGGGGTTTGGTGGTTCTATAGGGCGCTTCAGAACCGGGCTTGGGGGCGGAGGTCTACATTCAGGAAGTAGGTCCAGGATTGCATTTTTGGGAATGGGGTTTTGGGCGAAGGTCTACGTTTGGGGATTGGGGTTAGGCTTCATTTTTGGGAATAGGTTTTGCGGCGAAGGTTTACGTTTACGGATTAGGCTTAGGAGTTTAGGAACAGGGTGTGGGGCTTAGGTCGGCATTTCTGGACGAGGTTTAGGATTCAAGCGTCACGGTCCCAAGGTTGAATCTCAGGGATTTGCTACAGCGGATCGTTTTCAAGGTGTAGAAGAGGGTAGCATTGAGGGTGCTATGGTTTAGGGTTTCAGGTTTTGGGGCTTATTTAAACCCTGAAGCCGAAACCCTAAACGCGAAACTCGAAACCTGGGTCCTTGTTGGCTACAATTTTACGCTTTTATTATCATAAAACCCGGTAAGGATTGACAATGATCAGTTTTCATATAGCCCCAACAGGGAACCCGAAACCCTAACCTACAGTGTTGAGGTTTCAGGATATCTGGGCCTCCTGACTTCTAGCTTGAAGCCTGATGTAGGGGCCTTAGTAATTAGAACAGGGTCTTGGGTCCATTATACTATAATGTTAATAAGGAACTCCCAAATAGTATCCTAAACCCTAACCCTAAACCCCAAATAGTATTGGTAATTATTCAGGCCCCTACAGTACCTCAAGGGCCAGACAACCTTTAACAGGAGCCTAAACACCGAAACGGGTATCTAAACATCGACCCTTTTAGTGTTTAGTGTTTAGGGTTTAGGGTTTAGGGTTTAGGGTTTAGCGGGAGACTTGCAATGAGTACCCTGCATCATGTACGGAACTCTTACATCAAGCCTAAATACCAGGATCTTTCATACAAGAAGCCCCAAGAAGGTACTGCCAATCCCAGGTCAACACCTATGACCTCCCCTAAACCCTAAACCCTAAACCCTAAACCCAAACCCCTGAACCTTAAACCCTAAACCCTAAACTTAAAAAACCCGAAGTACCCTAAATCCTAAACCCGAACCCCCACGCTCTCGCACGAGAATCCGAACCAAAGCACACGCCCAAACCCTGCGCCTCAGCCTTCAAAACGCAGAGCGCATCACACGATCCTCTGTTGGCCTGTCCTTAGGGTTTAGGGTTTAGGGTTTTGGGGTTTAGGGTTTAGGGTTTAGGGTTTTGGGTTTTGGGGTTTAGGGTTTAGGGTAGCGCGCGCGAACGCGTCAGCAACCAGGCAGCCGAGCCCATCTAAAGCCAGTTCAGGCTTTGCAGCTCAGGGTTCACAGAACGTAGACGGCGCCCTGTTATAGGGTTTAGGGTTTAGGGTTTTATGGTAGTTGATCATGTCACATGTCGTTCACTACAGCAGTGAGAAGAGAATTATTTGCCACGGTCAACATATTGCAACTAGCAGAAACATACGAAAGCGTGAACCCTAACCCTTAAGTTGACAAAAGGGATATATACATGAATAAGCAAACAAATAGATAAGACACATATGTCAGTCAGTCAGTAAGTAAGCAAGTAAGCAGGTAAGTGAGTAAGTACGTTTAGATACCCACACACACACACACATATCACGTAGACAGTAGTCTTGCCTCGCGCACCGCGCCCACAAGCTGTGCCAGCCGCACCCGCGTTGCATGCGATGTCTGACTGGCAGCATCTCTCCATTCGCATCTGTCTCGTCACCTATGTGGTGCACATGGGTAGCCTGGTTTGTTGGTTCCTTGCCGCAGTTCGAGGCGGGGGTAGTGAGTGTGCGGAAATGGGAGGAACGAGAAGTATGATAAGGATGTAATGAGACTAGTACACCTGATGACGGCAATACTGACAATACTGCTACTGGTGCTAGTGCTACGACCTAGACGAGGGGGCGGAGGAAGTGACGACATGGACGACGACGACGACGACAGCTGCCTCTGCTACAGGTATTGCTGCTGCTGCTATCTGATGACTTCTCCCTAAACCCTAAACCCTAAACCCTAAACCCTAAACCCTAAACCCTGAACCCTAAACCCTAAACCCTAAACCCTAAACCCTAAACCCTAAGCCCTAAGTGAGGACTTTAGGCTTCAGGCATGGGAGCGAAGAGCAGAACTGAGTTACACCAGCTACTGAATCTAGATATGCATGTAGACACACTTAGGGTTTAGGGTTTAGGGTTTAGGGTAATTTTACATGCATGCAAGCCGACATGCATGCATCTGCAATTTTGATGCGTTTTTTGTACGCATGCGTCATCATGCATCCGTGCATACAACATGGAGGTGCAAAAACCTGTTTATGTAAACCAAGAAGTGCATGCGCGCAAGCCTGTATGCGGATCTGGACATGCACCAGCTCAAACACCTGGAAGCCGAAAACGTAAACTGCAGCTGGTACTTTGCATACAGGCACACGCATACATGTGTACATGGATGCAGAAGTATCTGCGCGAAGATACATATACAGTACATACATGCATGCAACAATGCATGTCTGCGTACATGCATGCATGCATGCATGCATGCTTACATATACACAGATGAATACACTTGCATACACTTACATACGTGCATGCATGTGTGCATATCACGAATGGTTTTTGTATGTGAAGGCACATTATGCACATGCAAGCATGAAGCACCTGTACAAATGTTGACAGATCTTGACCTCAAGCTGATGTTGTCAAAAAGGAATGCAAAAGAGTGCAAAAGCGTACTGAGAAGACAAGAATCGTTTTGATTCCTATAGGGGCTTCTTAGGATCCTACTATTCGGTGTTCATTAGTCCCGTATTTTCTGAACCCTCCTTATGTGCCTGGAAGTTGTCTCCTCCTCCCCCTCCTCTTCGCGCCTTGTGCTATCAGGGTTTAGATGCGCTCGTCTTCAACTCACGGCGTGCTTTGCTCATGTCTCCAAACTTTCCCACGAAGATAATCTAAATGTGGAAGTAGGTAACTTTGGAGGGTCTTTTGATAGCGGGGCCTCCTGGGTGACAGGCTGGTGTCGAAGCTACAAAGCCGGCACGGCGCCGTCAGAATATGAGTATTGGGTGGTCCGCCTGTTTTTCATCATGGCCGTTGCCGATTTCGTGCGCGGGGTGGACGGTCTCTCCGACACGTTCGAGGACGGCTCGTTTGTCAGCGTGTCTTGGCCGCTGCAAAATAATGGGTTTGGACAGCACTGAGTGCCAAACCTACAGCCTAAACCCTGAACCCTTCATAAACTGTAGACCCTAAACGCCCTAAACCCTAAACTCAAATCTCTCAACCCTAAACGCAACAGCCTAAACCCCTAAACACCGTAAGCCCTAAGCCTCAAGCTTATTCCGGAAGCGGCGGACAACCAGAAACACCCCCCTCATTCACAAAAAAAGGGGCACAGTAGCACCTCGCAGTCCAAGCCCTATAGAATAGTGGGTTTAGGGTTTAAGTTTAAGGTTTAGGGTTTAGGGTTTAGGGTTTAGGGCCCTCATAAATTAGAAGAGGATCCTGGTATAAGGTTGCCGTAAATCTAAGTAACAAGAGTGACTATATATGGGCTTAGTATAGGGGCCTTAACGATTAGAAGAGGGTTATATTACAGTGTGGGTACCTCAGGAGCCTCGCAGGAATGGTATTTGTATTTTTTTAGGCCCCTGCTCGAAGGTTCATGGGACTTGGTAACTAGGGTTATAAATAAGGTAGCTAGACTTGTAATAACACCAGTTAAGCTACGTATAGCTGTACTCATTAGGTCTCATGAACCTCCAACTGCATTTATGTAGGAACTTGGTTAAGATAGCCAGGTCTTACAACCCCAAATTAGTAAGCTGCATCTACCGAACCCAACAAAGACAAAAGGTTTCTTAATCAGACCCCTATATTACGTTAGTCGTAGCATAGGAAACGTGTAACATTTCTTTATTCTAAACCCTAAACCCTACAGCCTAAACCCTACAGCTAAACCCTAAACCCTCAACCCCAAACCCTACCTGAGGTTTGGGGAAGCTTTAACATCTCGGGTCGATTCTTCGCCTGGTGGCTGCGTGACCTCCTCGGCTTCCAGAGCTTTGGGCTTAGGATCCTCTAAGGGTTTCATGGCTTAGGGTTAAGGGTTTAGGGTTTCAGGGTTTCAGGGTTTCAGGGTTTGAGGGTTTCACGGGTTTCAGGGTTTGGGGTTTAGGGTTAAGGGTTTAGGGTGAAGGTTTTTGGGTTTAGGGTGAAGGTTTTTGGGTTTAGGGTGAAGGTTTTTGGGTTTAGGGTGAAGGGTTTAGGGTTTAGTGAAGGGTTTAGGGTTCAGGGTTAAGGGTTTAGGGTTTCAGGGTTTAGAGGTTTAGGGTTAAGGGTTTTTGGTTTAGCGTTTAGGGTGAAGGGTTTAGGGTGAAGGATTTAGGGTTTAGGGTTTAGAGTTCTCAGGATTTTTAAGGGTTTCAAGGTCTCGTTTAAGGGCTTCTTTAAGGTCTCCTTTTCGGGTTTAGGGGTTAGGGTTCCTTTAAGGGTTCTTATAAGGGATCCTATAGGGGATCTATGCGGCTGTAGAGGTTTAGGCTAAGGTTCCGTTAGGGGTTCCTATAAGGTTTTAGGGTTTCGGGGTTTGGGTTTACTGGTTTTGGTTTTGGGGTTTAGGGTATAGGGCTTCAAGCCTTCATTTAAGGGTTCCTAGAAGGTTCTAGGGGTTTGGGGGCCTTCGGGTTTAGGGGTTTAGGGGTGTATTTGGGGTTGAGGATAAAGTGTAGGGTTTAAGGGTTTAGGTGTTTTCGGGTTCCGTTTTTTACGGTTCCTTCAGGGATCTAGACGGCTTCGGGGAACCCTAAACCCTAAACCCTTTCAGGCATTTAGGGTTTGGGGAAGCTGTAGCCATGACGCCCTGAACATGAAGAACTAGAAGCTCCGAGCCTGCCTCCATTATTTCTGACATACGGGCCTTTTTAATAATCATTTGAATAGGGTTCACGGTTTAGGGTTTAGCGTTTAGGGTTTAGGGTTTTGGGGGGTATATTATACTACAAGTATAATAAGGAATCCCCCGAATTAGTACAGGTAATAATTTAGGCGACTACATTACTGCTCTTGGAGGTGTTCAAAATCGTGCAGGTGATCTGTTTGTCAGATGTAGTGGCAAGTAGGGTACTAGCTTTGTGTTTCTGGAATACTTAAAGGTTCATGGGACTTAGTAGCTAGGGTTATAAATAAGGTAACTATGCTTATAATCACTTATAACCCCAGTTAAGGGTACTTATAACTGTACTTACTAAGTCCCATGAACCTCCAAGTAGTCAGCGTAGCAAAATCCTAAAGCTTTGAAGTCGTGCAACCCCCTGCCCCAACGCTGAACAATCAAGGATTTTGCTGCTGTTCCACAGCTTCACGGTCAGGCGATCGGTCCGTTGAATCTACTATGTTTCTGCTTGTAGTAGCAATCTAGTATACTTGCGGAGCTTGCTATATAGTTAGGCCCCTTGCTTCATGGTTAGCTGTGTTTCAACAGTCGTGGCTTGTTATCGGTGCTCATAGCCGTGCGGAAGACATTCCTATTGCTGATTGTGTTGTTGAAACTTTGTTCATTCCACACGACTAATCCAACCTCCAGCAATGAAGCCAAAATCAATGTGCAGCCAGGTGGTCACACACAGCGCTGGAGCTTCCAATGCCGCGGCTCCTGATGACAATGGTTCGATTCGGCTGTGCCACCGCCACCATCGGTTTTGGCACAGGCCTCTGCGGTGCGCTTGTCACCAACAAGCAGATCTGGCAGGTTGTCTGCATGGTCTCCGTCCTGCCCTACAATGCTGTGAGCTTCTTCATGTGTGGGCGGCATCTGTGGCGAATCTTGCCACAGCTTGCGTCGGGGAGTGATCCCGAATCTGCGGACTTGCTAGCAAGGTCTCGAACAACTGCTACACGAATGCTCGTTGCCCATGCCATCATGCTATCGACTTTCCCAGCTCTGATCCACCAGAAAGTTATGATCGGCCAGAACCCACTTGTCGCACACCTGCCGGTTGCTTGGTTTCCTTCCGCTGTATGCCTGGAGGTTGCCAATATCCAGGGTTCTTTATGGGCTCCCGAATAAAACATAGAAACCAAAATAATTAGCAAGATTATTCCTTAGGGTTTAGGGTTCAGGGTTTAGGGTTCTTTATGGGCTCCCGAATCAAATTTAGAAGCCAAAATAATTACCAAGAGTATTCCCTAGGGTTTCCTTTTTTACAGTAATACGAAGCAGGAGCCCGAGATCCTCTTCGAACTTACTCAGGCGCCTGCATTAAAGCATCGCTGAAGATTACATCCCCATCTGGGTAGTTTTCTAAATTAGGGTCCCTTTTGGGGTCCCTTTTATAAGGGTGCCGTATATTGGGGACCTAAAAGGGGCCCTAATTTAGAGAACTAACCATCTGGTAAACGCGAAAAAAAAGGCCAAGACTCTACGTAGAAGTAAGATCCCGTGAGCTATAGGGGTTCCTCACCAGCGATGGGTGTAGATTCCTTACCTACTGGGTTGCGCTTTCTGGGGAAGGTGAAGGTCCAGCCCGAAGCCCTGACACCCTATAGCTTAACATCTTAAATCCTGCAGTTTAGGCTTGGAGAGGGTTTAGGGTTTAGGGTTTAGGGTTCAGGGTTCAGGGTTTAGGGTTTAGGGTTTAGGGTTTAGGGTTCAGGGTTCAGGGTTTAGGGTTTAGGGTTTAGGGTTTAGGAGATCAGTATTTATCCCCGGTTGAGCAGCCCTTATTCATGAACCCTATGGGAACTTCATTGGTCCGCCACACAGGAAAAGAATAAGATCAGAGTTTCTGGGACTGCGCCCACCGGTTTGGCACCTGCACTCGCAACACCCGGACCGGAAAACCTAACGCAGAATCCTAAACCCTAAACCCTAAATCCGAACCGTACTGTAGGGGCCCTATAGTATAAGAGTATACCCCCAAACCCTACGCGAATTATAACGGCCCCTGGATTTCCAACTAAACCCTAAACCCATCAACCCAGGTTGGCACATGGATTGGAAGCACCCTGCTCCCCGTCATCACGGACGTGCCTATGCTTTATCCGGGCAAGCATCCGAGTCCGGCTCTGGAGATCGTGGAGATCACAATGGGCTGGTTTTGCTTCTCTGGCACGGTCTAGGGTTTAGGGTTTAGGGATAAGCCCAATAAGAGTGTTCAAGACCTCACGCATAAGCCTAAACCCTAAACCCTCTTACAAAGTCCCCCGTTGCTTAAGTCACCTTTATGGTGGCCAAAAATAATTACCAATCCTAATTTTAGGGCTCAGATCGCCGGGAAGGCCGGAACACTGACAGCCCCACGGCAGCAAGGCTTGCCGCTTAGCTTTTTCGAGCCATAGGGATCCACCCAGCTTCGCCTGGCTGGCACCGCAGACAGCGGCTCTTTCGGGCGAGGGCGAGGCGCTCGTTCCGCAAAGGACGTCCCCTGTCCCGTCTGCAATCCGAAAGACTCTGGTTGCACCACGGTTCGGGAGTGACGCGAATCTCCATGGGCGGAAAGAACCAATGGAAGAACCAGCAGTATGCCGGCGGAGGAGGCGGTGGACAGCAGGTGCAATGGGGCTATTGGCGGGGTGCCTGGCCCAAAGCGCAAGCGCAGTCGTCCTTTCCGGCCTACGACCAGAAGCGCAAGGACCTCGAGGCGGACAAGAGCCATGGGAGTGCCCAGCTTGGTGCTGCGGATCCTCCAGGCTACGTGCAGGCCATTCAGGCCAGTGTCAATGTGGCCAGGAAGGCAGAGCAGCGAGTGACTGCGATCGAGAAGAACATCCAGGACAAGAAGGCCCGGTGGGCCGCCTACCTCGAAGACATGAAGGCGGCCTGGATACGGGAATCCCAGAGACATGCCAAGGACATAGAGGCTCTCGGAGAGGAGCTCGAGAAAGCAGTCCGGGCGCAAGACATGGCGCGAGCAGACCTGCGAGATGTGCATATGGCGGCTGTCTCGGGACGCAGCTTGACCAAGCCGGCTCAGGACCATGGGACAACATGGGCAGCGATGATGGCCCAGTGGCAGCAGGAGGGCGAAGCATCAGCTCCGGATGCAGTCCTGCAGAGGGCCATGTGCGCGGCGGAGATGCCATCATCGATCATGGGCGCCATGGGTGCGCCTCCAGTGTTCCCGCCGCCTGGATTTCCAGGGCATCCCGGGCACTCCTGGCCGATGATGCCAACCGTGCCAGTATTACCAACGACAGCACCTCCTACAGCAGCACAAGCGGGGGTGGATCAGAGCAGAGCCCCAGATACAAAGATGCCTGTGACGGGGCCTTCTGCAGCCATGCACAAAGCGGCCGCGTATGTAGACCCTTCTGCAACGATGCCCTATATGATGTCGCCGAGCGGTGCCTACTCGAAGGTGCGTCCGGGAGTGTCTCCCAATGCTCGAGTTGGCCCCTATGCGGGGGAGGCTGCCCTTGCTGCAGTGGCAGCAGCAGCAGTGCCCCCCCCAGGTCAGCCGGACCTTGCCGTCAAGCTTCAGGAGAAGAGGATGGCTTTGCAACCCTTTGGGGGCCCGCAGATCGCGAAGACGGAAACCGCCCTAGCGGCTCGAGTCGAAGACCAAGAAGTTGCCCTCAAGGTCATCGAGGACGACCATTCGGACGCGGTGCTCTCAGACCACGACAGGGACACCACGGGCGCTCCCAGTCCAGGATTGCGAAAGATGGAGTAGCGACCGCTTGTGGCGGACCTTTTGCCCGCCACCTTGGAAGGCTGATTTGCTTCTGGCTTATCCAGAACAGGGAGGCAGCTGGTTGTACCCTTGAGGGCCCGCAGGATGTGAGCGCTACAGGCACTCCGTGGCCTCTGCAGCACTCCTTCCGGCAGTTGCCCTTTGGGGTTACCTCCTTCGAGCCTCTCTGTGCTGACGATATCTCAGGAGCCCTCTGGCAGGTGAGTGCAGGGAGCCTAGTTAGGCATTCTGTAAATAGCCGATTTCTTTTTCAAAGACCTCGGCTCTCGCCTTTTGGGTCCTGGTCACCTCGGCCCTCGTCATCGGGGCTCCTCTCTGTCTCTTCTTGCTTTCTTTGGGAACAGGGGAGCCCCCCTCTCTCTGCCGGCTTTCGGGAGCATTGGGTCCTTGCTTCCCCTTGGCCGGTCTTGTCATCTGGTGCGCCTACTTTGGCTCCGGTCTGTCATTCAGCATCTTGTGCCTCCTTGGAGCGTCTTTGTTCCTCGCTGCCTGTTTCCCTCCTTCTGCGGTGCCTTCTTGTCACTGTTGAGGAGGGGAATGGGCTGTCTTCCTCTGCCAGCTTTGGGGAGCACTGGGTTTGTGCTTCTCCTTGGCTGGCTCCGCCGCATTGTTCGCTTCCATGGGTTGGGGGCCACAACACCGCGGTGCTAACAGCAAGCGCCCTTCCGAAGCCTGGGCCCTTTCTTTCCTTCTCTTCAGTTGTCAGCTTCAGGGCTCCGTGTGCACTACGTGGGCCTGCGCCTTCGGCCTTTCGCGGGTCTTTCGCTGGCGAGGACATTCCTCAGCTGCGGGCCCCGACAGATTTCGGTTTTGTCCCCTATCCCTGTTGCTGCACTCAGCATTGGAGCCGCACACTCAGTTTCGAAGGCGGAGCGCCTAAAAGGCATATCGGTGGCTCTGGGATGCCTGCCCGCCTCTTTCCTTACCGACCTAGGTCCCTAGTCCTGCCTGTCCCCCTTTGGGGTTTAGTTCCCGATCTAGGACCCTGGGACGTTGATGGGCAAGGCAATCCATTTCCTTGCCTTTTTGTGGCTTTGTCCTGGAATCGACTGAGGTCCTTCACGGATCAGGACCCTTCTTCTCCTCCGGTTCCCCTTCTTTTCGGTTTAGTCCCTAACCCCTGTCTCTGCCCTCTGTGGCGGAGGTGTGTACATGGAGTCGGTGGCGGAGCGCCTAAAAGGCATATCGGTGGCTCTGGGATGCCTGCCCGCCACCTTCCCTTTTTGCCGTGCAAGCCTCTTTGTCGCTGTACCGCTGCGGACAAGCCAAGCTCTTGGGCCTTAGGCTTCTGGGCACCTGCCTGCTGTGGCTGGATTGTGCCTTCGACTCCTGTTGCCCCACTCCTCCCCAGTTGTGGTTTAGTCCCTCCTTTAGGACCCCAGGGAGCAGAATGGCAAACGTGCCTTGCCCGCTTTGTTGCCCCACATCCTGCTTTGGGTCTTACTAGCCAAATTGCCGAAAGGCTCTTCGGTTGTGCTTGGATGCCTGCCAGTTGGCCCCTTTTGCTTTCTGTAGGAATGACCGTCTCCGGTTTTTTCTTGCATCTCATGTTGCTGACCTTTGTTGCCTTGTTGCAGCTCCTCGTTCGTCCGCTGCATGCACAGCGCAGCCCACTATGCAAGGCCCTTTTCCTGCCAGCCACTGGCATGCCGGGAGATTTCCTCCTGCCTCTTCAGAGAATTGGGGGGGGCACTCTCGCCCGAGGCCAGTCTGGTCGCTTCTGCGGCCGCCGTACCCGCGGCCGTCGTAGTAAACATTTGGAGACACCCCGGCCCTGTCGCCTTATGGCTGGTCGCGACAAGCTCTTCTTTTGGCTGCTCTGCTCTCTTGCAATTCCGCAACAGGTTTGGGCTGCCCCCAAGCCCTGGGGAGAGGCTGTTGACATTCTCCTTGCGGCTGCCAGAGCAATGCCCGAGCAGTTAGAGTTGAGAGGTCAAAGCACAGGTGTAGGAGATCCGCCCACAGCCGGCCTCTCTGTTGATGCTGATGCAAGCGAGGAGTCAATTGTTACGGCTGGTTGCTTGCATGTCGCCTCTCTCCCTCTTTGCAATAACGCAGAAGTGCCGGCGCCTGATCCCCACCTTGTGGCCGATCTTGTTGTCCAGCAGGAGCCTTTGCTACAGGGCACATGTTTCGTCATGGCTCCATACTATCAGGCAGAGACTGTGCAGGTCGCATTGCACCCACCATTCGCATACCATGTTCTGCACTCAGCGGTCCGAGATGCCCTCGTTACACTGAGGTTGAAATATACGCACATCCTGCATCCGACCCACCCTCAGCTTGCGTCGGACTACGGATCCTTTGTGTTGGCCCCAAAATGGCTGGCCTCATCAGCCATGCAGGTTGTCGTTTTTGACTTGCGTGCTTTGGGTGGGCCAGTCTATTCGGCCTTTGCCTGGGAGAACCTCACACATGGGGACTGCAGCAGGGAGGCGAGAAGGCACGGGTTCGTTGAGTGGCAGGCATATGTTGGCGGTTGCTCTATGCCCCTCCAACCTGAGGCGTCTGTCCTCGCCAGTCTTGGGTTAGTGATCCAGTTCCAGCCGCCTCATAGACCTCCCCGTTGTTGCGGATCCCTCTTTGCCCGGATTGACAGGCCTAACTCTTGGAGCATTGCGCCGGAAATGCCTCGCACCGCTCACGAAAGGCCTCTCTTGGTGCTGTATGGAGACCAGCAAGTTCTTTATACCACCAGGAGATTCCCAGAAGTCCCATCCCGGCAGTGCATCGCTGGGTTTGTTGGTCGTAGCCCGGACAGGGCCCTCTTTGTGACGCCGGCAGGGCAAGAGCTTGCCAATATCGATAAGCTCGGTGTCTCCTGCAGGGATGCTATGGCGGTGTTCCCCCTCACACCGGCGCCGGATAGAGAAGGGATCATTGTTTTCCTTGATGCCAGGCAGACAGGTAATTTTATTGATCACATTTTTCTTCCGGGCAGCGCAGTCGACCCACTTGTCCTTATCAGGTACCTCCACTTGCAAGCGCCTCCTGCACACCGCATTGTTTTTTGGCCCAGGACGGACAGGGACGGGATGCTGCGCCTTACCGAGGGAAGTGTTGTAGAGTTTGGTTTCGTCGAAGAAGGGCTTTGGGATTCTGAAGAAGACTCCGGTTCCGAGGATGCCGCTTCGTCCGATCGGCCAGACTCCGACGGTTCAACGCACCCCGGCCACACCGAGCGAGCAACTTCAGCCCCAGTGAACAACCGGGACCCAACACCAGGGACCGGGAGTGCAAGCGATCCATCGGCCAGATCACGCTCCCCAAGCCGGGCCAGGGAAGGCCAGAGAGATGCTATTGACTCCCCCTCCGCCCTGCCACTGTTGTGTAAAAAAGCCGGCTCCTTCTGTAAGGCTATGTGGTCACGAGGTGCCGGAGACCTGACCCCTCTGTCTTGTCTCGTTTTTTCCAGTTGGTTCCAGGGTCTCCCCGGCAGCATTCTTGAGCTTCTCCGGCCAGGGGAAGCTCCCACAGAGCGGCCTCAACATGCCAAGTTGCTTGAGGAGCCTACGCCCACTTGCCAGCGAGACCTAGAGGCTCTTGATGCGCTGACAATTATAGCTCAGGAGTTCGGGCAGCCCTGGCGCTATTGGCCTGCGTGGCGATTGCAGGAGCGCCTTGAGCTCATGCCTCCTATTCCCGTCTTTGATGACGTGATTGTCGCCCCAGTTGTCATTCCTGTTGCTGTTCTCACTCCAGGATATGCAGCCGAGCATTTCAGCGTTGAGGTTTTCTTGCCTGGTGACATACGAGATGTCACTTTGGCCGTGCAGGCTGCCAGGGGATCTAGGCATGTTCGCAGGTTTCCTATCCTTCTGCCAGCCTTGCCACAACCGTCTTCCGAATGGCTCCTTTTCCTTGCGCAGCCTGAGTGGGAGCCGCAGGCCATTGTGGTTGTGGTTGATGCTAGAGTATACGATGGCAGGCTGTGGGCCATCCAGGCGCCGCAGTACGTTGATCATGGGTCCTTCCTTAGATTGGCAGGCCTGCCCGATGGTGCCCAGGTCACAGTTCACACCTCCTTGGATGTAGGCATTCTTCTCCATTTTGAGGAGACGAGGCTCTTTCCCGGCCAGTGCCTCTGTGTATTGCCAGATGGCCGGCCTGCTCCCCCTGTTCGAGTTGTTGACTCCATGCTCCTTTCCACGGATGGATGGGGCACAGGTGTTGCCTTCCCAGAACCGGACACGCCGGCCTGCTACTGTTGTGTGACTGATAGGGGGCACCATCTGTATGCTGCGAACGCGGAGCGGCCTTGGGCTTTCAGACAGGAGATTGCAGACTCCTGTAGCCTCCCGGTGGGGCGGCTTCAGCTTTGCCCGGCCAAGCCCAGAGTCGAGGACTGCACCGTCTTTGGCTGGCCGTGTCGCACAGTCCTTGGCGTCGGTCTCAATACCGTGGACTCAGTTTTTGTCATTGTCGACTGTCGCCCGATCATGCAGGGATGGTCGCTTGTCCGCACTCGAGGTCAGGTCGCAGTGCGGGACCTCCTTGAGGACCTTGGAGTCCTTGCCCCTTCCTTCTGGGAGCCCATTGTGCACAGCAATGCATATTTTGCGCCACAGACTGAAGGGGTCCTCCATGTCACAGAAGGTCAGGTTGTTGTCATCGAATACCGATTACAGGCCATTGAGGAGCCTGTCGAGCACGAACAGGACATGTCCGACATTAGAGCTTTCGATCCGGACTCAGATGAAGACATGGAGTCTTCCGACCACTCCTCCCTACAATCGCAGGGGGGAGGAGGTCATCCTGCGTTGGCACCAGGCCACAATGGTGCCACCAATGAGCAACACTTCTTGCGTTTCTCAGGTCGAGCCCCTGTCTTTCTCAGGCCCTGTAGCAGATGCCAGTCTCACTGGTTCCAGGAGTCAGCGCAGCATGCTCCAGTTGGGACCAAATTTCGAGTCCCGAGATTTGCGCAGCTCCTTGCCCTCAGTTGGCTGCTGATTCAAACCGCCACTGCGGTCCAGCTACCTGACTTTGACTTCCTTGCCTCGGGTCGAGCCAGCATGTGTCCGCCTGTTTCAAGTGTTGATGCCCTTGCTCCAGGGCCACAGGCCGATACCTCTGCCCTCCCCGAGCTCGGTGTCGAGCAAGTTCATCTCTCCCGGCGCAGGCCCCTGCCAACCCCGTGTCGGGCGCGACAGGGGCAAGACATCGCAGCCCATGCAGCCAATGTAGGCAGTTTTGGTTCGACCTTGCTTGAACAGGCTGCACAGGCGCCTACGTTTCAAGGTTTCTTCCTCGCGGCGACTTTGCTAGAGGTACTCTTCGAGCACGGCCAGGCACTTGCACATGACGGGAGAGCACTGGTCAATCCGCCTCCCCGTGTCCTTTCCCTGAATGACTGCATTCCACTCACTCCCTTCCAAGTGCTTGCCCAGAGCCTTACTGCTCTTGTGCCACCGCCACCCCGAGCCGGAGACAGTTACGAGGGGAATGACTGGCTCGATGCTGATCTCAGTCATCTCACTCGCAGTTCCCAGATCGAGGCCCGATGGCGGGGTCTTTTTCAAGACGTGCCTAAATGGTGGGCGCAGCACCCTCAACCTCCCCGGCCGGAAAAGATTGAGATCTACACCGATGGCTCAGCTCCGGGTGGGGCTGACCCCACCGAGGCTGTTGCTGCGGCGGCTTGGGCTTTCACTGTCTGGGCCATCAGCGCCGGTACCCCCTTCTTCGTCGGAGGTGCTGCACATACCCTTGTCCCAGCCGGGACGCCGTATCATGTTGGGGAGTGTACTGACACCTCACTTGAGGCGGAGTTGGCCGCAATCGCTTGGGCATTGATCTGGGCCCTTGAGCACGGGGTGCGTTTTCAGGTTTGGCTGGAGTTCTGTTACGATGCCACGGCAGCAGGCGGCGGCGCTTTTGGCGAGAGCCGATGCCCTTGTCTTGGTGAAACAGGTTCAGGTTTGGGTGCTACGGCGGTCCTGTTGCGCCAGGCCGTTGCGACTAGAGTTCCAGTGTCGCACCGCCATGTCAAAGGCCACTCGGGGATCCTGCCCAACGAGTTATGTGACTGCCTAGCCAAGGCGGCCAGGCGCAGCCCTGAATGCCCCTACTCCAGAATGTTGCCGACGTGGCCAGAGCCATGGGCAAGGCACCAGCTTCGACAATGGACCTGGCTTGCACATGCGTCCTGTCCTAGCCTTCCCGTGCTTACTGCCTTGGAGGCAGAAGCAGGTAGGCTGCAGTGCCAGGCACACGAGGTCCTGGCCCCGACCGCTGGTTTGCGAACCAGCCATTACCGTGCCACCGAGGTTGAGTACTCCTTTAAGGCCCTTTCTTTTAACGCTCTCTCTCTCTTTGACCCAGCGGCCCCTCCTGGTCGAGAGGCGCGTGTCAAGAACCAGGGGCTTCTCATTGCAGGGAAGAGAGATCTTCTCAAGCGTCAGTTGCTTGAGCAACACATATGGGCAGCAGGCATCCAAGAAACACGGCTTCCTACAAGTGAAACACTCCCGGACGGGGACTTTTTGATGCTTAGTACGGAGGCAAGTCCGCAAGGGCATTATGGGTGTGCACTGTGGCTGAACCTTGCCCTGCCTTTTGCCTCTGAAAAAGGCCTCAAGCACCGTGTTTCCAGGAGCCAGGTTACAGTCACCAGCGTGTCGCCCAGGCACCTCCAGGCTCAGGTCTCCGCACCACGTCTTCGACTTACAATTCTCGTCGCTCACGGGCCCTCTGGCGTCAAGGATGGGGGCCTTGCCGCGCGGGAGTTCTGGACAGCCAGGGCGCAAGATCTCCGAGCCAGGGCAGAAGGTTCAGAGATTCTAATCCTGGCGGATGCGAATGCCCATCTAGGCACCATTGAAACAGAAGCTGTCGGGGGGCATGATCCAGAGCAGGAGAACGCGGCAGGAGCAGCGTTTCACGAATGCTTGCTCGACTTGGACTGTTTTTTACCTTCCACCTTTGTCAGCTGCCACCATGGGCCCAGCTCAACGTGGCACGGGCCCAGTGCCCCGGAGTCAGGTCATAGACTTGACTACGTTGCGGTGCCGTCCTCCTGGAGACATCTGTCCATCAGCACTTGGGTGTGGGTCGAGTTTGAGAGCTTGCAAGCCAGGCAGGATCACCAACCGGTCTGCCTGCAAGTCCTTTTCGGCCGTCAGCAGGCCGCGGCCTCCTACACAGTCTCCACCAGGAGAGCCCCTCGTCCCGTTCTCCGTCAAACGCCAACGGACCAGGTGCGAAGGGGCACTTTCCTTGACGCCCTTCACAGCAGTGGACCTCAAGAGCCTTGGTGGGCTGGCATTGACTCTCACTGTGAGTCTGTCAGCCTTCCCTTTGTCAAGGCAGCAGAAGCCATCTGTGTCAAGCAGCCACAACGACCGCGGCAGCCATACCTTCAGCCGGATACTCTTTTGTTGGTTCAGCGGCGGGCCGCGGTCCGCGTCTACCTTTCCACCGAGAGGGCTGAGCTCAACAGGCGCCTTAAAATGTTGGGTTTTGCCGCTTTTGTTCTGTCTGTCCAGTCTAGCGGTTTCTCAGATGCAGCCAGGACTGCTGCCTCCAGATGGTTTTATGAAATGGATATCAGCATCGCTGCGGCTGTCGATGCCCAGCATTGGCTTACCAGTGCGTTGCGCTCTGCCGTGAAGCGTGACCGCATCGCCTTCCTTCAAGGTCTGACGGACCAGATTTCAGTCACAGATCTGAAGGATCCCCTACGACTTTACGCGGCCGTACGCAGGGCCTTCCCGAAAGCTAAGGCATCCAGGCGAGCCAGCTTTCAAGCCTTGCCGGCTGTCCGTCTCAAGGACGGAACCCTTGCCAAGGACCCAGCTGAAAGGGCGGACAGGTGGACCGCCCACTTCGGAGATCAAGAGGCAGGTGAAGTCACAGCTCTTGCAGACTACGAGAGCAGTCTCGGAGCTTCACCCTTCCAGCCGATACGTGGAGGGCCGCACTTCGACTACACAGTGTTGCCCTCGCTCCTAGAAGTCGAGCAGCAAATTGTTCGGCTGCCACCCCGCAAGGCAGCTGGGCCGGACTCTATCACGGCGGAGACGCTGAGGGTATGCCCGACAGTTGCAGCTCGGAGTTTTCTGCCGCTGTTCCTCAAGGTGTCCCTCTCCCTCCGTGAACCGACACCTTGGAGGGGGGGGCACCTTATGTGCCTCGCCAAGCGTGCTACAGCGCTTCTTGACTGCGAAGCGTTTCGGTCCATCCTCCTGGCAAGCCTTCCTGCCAAGATTTTACACCGGATTTGGCGAGACCGGCTCTCGCGACACTTAGCCAATGTCAAAGGGGATCTTCAGGCAGGGCAACTTCCAGGGGTCGGCGTAGACAGCATCGCGCTGGCAGTCCGGACCTATCAGGCATGGGCCCAACACCACGGCCTTAAGTCAGGCCTGCTCTTCTTCGACGTCAAGGCAGCGTTTTATAAGGTTGTTAGGCAGGCGTTAGTGCACACGGAACCCGACGATGCTTGCCTTCTCCGCCTTCTGCATGACCTTGGTGTCCCTGGGGAAGCGCTCCCGGAGCTTGTCCAGAAGCTCCAGGCAGCGGCACACATCGCCGAGGCTGGCGCTTCACCCCATCTGCAAGCGCAGGTCACAGACCTCCTGAGAGGGACTTGGTTCAGGTTGGATGGATCCGCCTCCCTTGTCGTTACGGCCAGGGGGTCCCGTCCAGGGGACCCCCTGGCCGACATTTTGTTTTCCTTCAGCTTCGCTGCGTACCTAAAAGGGGCTGAACAGGCCTTAACCAGCCACGGCCTGGCCACACCTGTCCCCAGCACCACGGCTCATCCGCCGTGGACCACTGGAGAGCCGGTAGACAGGATAGGGTGTGCCGCGTGGGCAGACGACTATACCCACGCGCAGGCGGCATCACAAGCTTCCGAGCTTTGCGACAGAGTTCTCACTGCAGCAGGGATTCTCTCCGAGCATGCCACAGCTGCGGGGATGCAGCTGACGTTTGCCCCGGACAAGACGGCGGTCTTGCTGGCGTCGGACTGCGATCTCAAGGCGGAGACCCGGCTGGTCAGTGACGAGCAGGGCCGTTCGGGCTTCTATGTTCAGAATAAGGTCCTGCAATGCCGCCACTTTCTGCCACTGGTTGCTTCCTACAAACACTTGGGCGGCATAGTGACATCCAACGCCACTCCAGGTGCTGACAACCAATTCAGATTTTCACAAGCCCAGGCCACTTTGCGTCCTCTTTATGGAAGGCTGTTCTCAGCTACGGGGATCCCCCTGGCCATTAGGCGCACGCTCCTTCGAGCCCTGGTCATTTCGAAGTTTGTCTTCTCTGGGGCCTCGGCCCTTCTCGCTACCACCATCTATCGGCGTCAGTGGTGCCAGATGTATGTCTCGTTGTGGCGGGGTTTGTGCCGATGGCCCCAGCGAGACAGGACCCCCCACAGCTACGAAGTCCTCCGACGAGCCCAGGCGGCCAGCCCGCTTTTGGCCCTTGCGCAAATGCGGGCCATCCTCCTCCAGCGTGTGCTTAGACACGGACCCAGTACGCTTCAGCACTTGCTTCACGTGCATTGGCGGGCAGCTGGGGCGAAGTCCTGGTTGGGACTGTTTGTTGAAGATCTTCATGCTGTTGCGCCCTTTGCCCCAGCTGCAGCCGTTGTTCTCAACATGTCGGACCCAGTTGAGATCTTGCTAGAGAAGGCCTCAGCGGAGCCCACGTGGTGGCCTGCTCAAGTGCGCAGGGCTGTCAAGGGCTTTATCTGCAGGCTGGAGAAATGGGATCCAGGCTTTGACCCAGTTGCAGCCCAAACGGAGGTGCCGGACTCGTTGCCTTTCGTTTGCCGTTGGTGCGATGCGGCCTTCAGACTGCGAAAGCATCTTGCAGTCCACGAAGCGAGGCGACATGGTTCATTGTGCCCTGCGAGGCACTTCACACCAACACGGGAGTGTCAAGCCTGCCTCAAGCTGTTTCACTCTGTCGAACGTTGCATGTACCATGTTAAGACCTCGCGCTCCTGTCTTCTGCGACTGGTGCATATGTTTCCGCCCATGGACCTCCCCACCATACGCCTAGCCGAACAGGAGGACTCTCGCCGACGCAAGGCCCTGCGCGGCGGCCATTGGCAGGCGTTTGTTTCCACGACGCCAGTCTCTCAGGCGTTCGGCCCCAGGGCGCCTGTTTACTCGGATATCTTCCTTGGACTTAGTGAAGATGAGATTCCTGTCTCCCGACTTGGTTTCTATCGGCCTTCGCCAGTTACCCTCCAATGGATTCTGGACTACATTGAGGGTGCCTCCGTCGAGGGGCCTCGCCAAAGCGCTACCTCGTTTTGGCTTCGACCCATCCCAATCAGGGAACCCGAGTGACCAGGTTGCCCCTTCTGTTTCACCGTTTCACTCTGCATTTTTGGGACGCGCTCCCGTATGAGCTCTGACGTCCGCACGCAAGATAGCAAGATAGCAATCCTAATTTTGGATTTTCCTTATTATAGTTGTACTATAAACAGGACCAAAACCCTATTCTAATTATTAAGGCCCCTACATTAGGCTTATCTCTCTGGCCCAAAAGCCTATTCTAATTATTAAGGCCCCGACATTAGGCTTATCTCTCTGGTGGCCCGTGACCGGGTGTGGCAGTGGGCCGGACGACGGCAAATTCGTCGTCGCAGAAACGATCGGCAGCCGCATGCGCAATCCGTCTGAATGGGCTCTCGCTTCTGGGGGACGAGCCCAAACCCTAAACCCCAAACCCTAAACCCAAAACCCCTTAACCCTAAACCCTAAACCCCAAACCAGTGCACTTTAAACCCTAAACCCCAAACCCTAAGTTCTAAAGCCAAAACTCAAACCCTATTGACTCAGTCACCCGCGCCCACGCCCCGAAAAGGTGCAGCCCACGGCGGCAAGAACGACTGAGCGAGCGGAGACTACCGGCTGTGGGTTCGACTTAGTAGGGTTTATTACGGTTCCTTAAAAGGGCCTACAAAGGGATCTACAAGGGATCTACAAAGGTGTTGGGGCTTCAGGGTTTAGGGTTTAGGGTTTAGGGTTTATAGGGTTTAGGGTTTAGGGTTTAGGTTTTAGGTTTGAGGTATGGGCCATCTAGGGCCTTGAGTAATTGTTAGTTTTTAGCATTCCTGAGGGCTCAGAATGGTATACCTGGTAACAACAGAAAATATACCCCCTGACTGGCAAGGCTATTTTCAGTTTGACAGTTGTTCTGACTGTCGTTTGCATTGGGCGTGCTAGTGCAACCCCTTTTTTGGCATTGGACCTTCTGCAGGGTCCACGACACGTCTTTGACCGTCGGGCAGCTACAAATATCCGATCATCATCAACCTCTCGTACTTCAGCATGTAGCGGTGTTTTTTGTGGGCCGAAGGACTATGGTAGGACTGTCATGTTAATCATGTTCGCACTGACCAGGCTGACGTGCCCAATCATCTTCCGAACTGTGTTGCTGAGCAATCATGTTTTCCACGACAGGCTCGATTGGCAATAGCCCAAGCTTGGGCTGTCTCAATCACGCAGCTTTGTGGGTAGTTCTCTATATTCGGGTCCGCTTTGGGGAGCCCAGAATAGTTCGGCACCCTTATAAAGAGGAGGACCCCAATTTAGACAACTGCCCATGTGCAGTTGCGTTGCCAGAACCTGTTATTCATGCTATGCAGCGCTCAATCCATTTTCACAACACCGGGACTCGCAGGGTGCCGAAGAAGTCCGCTCCTCTGCATGTGATGAAAGAGTAGTAGCGGTGGTATTTGTGGCGGCGGTGGTAGTAGTAGCAGTAGTAGTAGTCGTAGTAGTAGTAGTAGTAGTAGTAGTAGTAGTAGTAGCAGTAGTGATCGTCGTCGTAGTAGTAGTAGTAGTAGTAGTAGTGGTGGTAGGTTTAGTGGTAGTGGTAGTAGTAGTCGTCGTCGTCGTCGGCGTCGTCCTAGTAGTAGTAGCTGTTGTTGTCGTTCTTCTTCTTCTTCTTGTTGCTGCTACGGTTTTTGCAGTATTGTGCAATACCAGCATGACCTAAACACCCAGTCGCAGCATGAATCCCAAGCCCGAATGCCCGCTCCTTGGCCCTAAACCCTAACCCCTAAACCCTAAACCCTAATTTTTCCTAAGCCCTAAACCTTAAACTCTCTAGAACCCTAAAGCCTAAACTTTCTGAAGCACTAAACCTTAAACCGACTGAGACGGTTTGGGGTCGGCCACCCACAACCGCAGGAATTATTCAGAGTCTCCTTTCTGCCGGGTCTAGGGTTCAGGATTTAGGTTTCAGGGTTTCGGATTTAGGGGTTAGAGTTTAGGATTTAGGGTTTAGGGTTTGGGGTTTAGTGTTTGGGGTTTAGGGTTTGGGGTTTAGGGTTTAGGATTTAGGGTTCAGGGTTTCGGATTTAGGGTTTAGAGTTTGGGTTGCTGTACACAGCGGATCCGACAACCCTAAACCCGAAATCCGAAGCCTGACTTCGTGTTAAACTTTACGGTTTAGGGTTTAGGGTTTAGGCCTTAGGGTTTAGGGTTTAGGGTTTAGGGCTGCTAGACCCTGCGCAGACCATATCAGCAGATTACGCCCGGGGCGACTGACTTTGGACCTCTGCTCGAGAAACTTCCGAAGAGCTACAGGCTTTTTTAGGGTTTTTGGCGGTTGGGGATCTTTAGTTTCCTGTAGCCGGGATCCTAATTTTAGGCTCCTTTCTAGGGTGTAGGGTTTAGGGTTTAGGGTTTAGGATTTAGGGTTTAGGGTTTTGGGTTTAGGATTTAATAGTCATTAAGACCAACCAGAGGTTTCTCAAACGGTTTCAACACCTCTGCTTACGGGTTTTCGGGCTTACGCATGGGGTTTATGGGTTTTGGCTGTAGGGTTGAAAGTGTTGAGGTTTGTGGTATAAGGGGTTTTGAGGAATAAAAAAGCCCCTAATTTACTCATCCCTAAACCCTAACTCCCAAACCGTAATCCCTAAACCCTCAACCGGAGTCAAAAAGCCAGAAATCTGTCAAAGGCTGGACGCCTCTGCACTGGGCCTGCGCCACGGGCCACTCTGATGTCTGGGAACCCGGGCTTTGGATGAGACCCGGGTTTTGGGTTTAGGGCCTTGGCGTTTTAGGGCTTAGGGTTTAAGGTTTAGGGTTAAAGAGTAAGGTTTAGATATCGAACCAGACCATATCAGATAACGGGTTTAGGGTTTAGAGTTTAGGGGTTTGGGTTTAGGGTTGAGGGTACCATTCCCTACATGCGCGACTTGCTTGGCAGGACACATGCCTTCAGTTTGACAAGTCTTTTGAGCCGGCCAACGTCCTAAGTCCAAAGCCCTAGAGTTTAAACCCAAGTGTCCTGAACCCGAAGCCTTAGACCCAAAAGCCCCAGCGCGAAGCCCCAAGCCCAACATTGTTCACCAATCTTCCTAAACCCTAAACCCCAAAGTTATCAAACACCATTCTACCACAGTCATCCTCCCATCCGCAGAAGAGACCGAGGTTGCGACGACTCTCATCGCTGCCAAGGCAGCAGTGGCCATACAGGACGCTAACATGGGCTTCTGAATAAGCCTGACGGTTTAGGGTTAAGGGTTTCAGAGTGGTTTAGGATTAGGCTTTAGGATCCTAAACCCTAAACCCTAAACCCTAAACCCTAAACCCTAAACCCTAAACCCTAAACCCTAAAAATCTAGGGTGTAGGGGATGAAGAAGCTGAAGTAATGTAGGGGCGTTCGTCATTAGAATAATTAGGGGTTGTTGGGATGGGGTTTAGTAGAAGCATATCAAGGAACCTTTAAGAAGAGGATCCCAGTCACGATGGCCCCCTACATTGGTAAGGATATCGGTGGTTGGCAAAATTATGGTCCCTTTTTGGGTCCTTATTATAATACGGCACCTATTATTTAGGGTACCTGCAAAGGGACCATCATTTTGACAGCTACCCATATCCCCTTGCAGTTCCTTCGCAAGCCTACTGTAATATTCACCATTCACATGTGGACTTTCAGAGAACAAGGGCCCGAAACACAGACCTTAAGCGCAAAAACGAAAGCAAGGGTTGGGGGTTTAGGGTTTAGGGTTTAGGCAAACCAATGAGTCCGACGGGCGTGCTAAAAAGGAGCCCAACATGAGGTACCCCTCATCTCACCACACCCCCACACCCACCCATTTGAGCAATACAGGGGCCTGATAATTGTTACCAATCTATTCCCTAGGGTTCGCAGCATAACATACCACCACAACGCTTCGCTCACAAGTAAGAAGACTAGTGACTGGGCGTTATCGGCAGCTGCGGGGCGTGGCAGGGCTAGGGTGCCACGAAGCAGAAAGTGCGGCTTAAGCCCCGAACTTGTGCGGACGCAAGGAAGCGGACCGGGAGTACGCCGCAAGGGCCGCTGAGGAGCAGAACGAAGAGCTCCAGTTCCTGCCCGGGAGCTGGTGGTGCAATCGCTGTTGGCAGGTGGCCCAGAGTAACGAAGGAGAGATCCCAACGGAGTGCAACAACTACTACAAAGGAAAGGCCTGTGAGGGTGAGCACTCGACGGATTTCTACGATTGGGCAGCTAAGCCAGCTGCAGAAGCCGCACCCCGCCTAACCCTGAATCCAAACTTCCACGCCCCAAACCCTAAAGACTAAACCCTGAACCCTGAACCCTCAACACACTACCTGTCAAAGGCTGCGGTTCTACATGCTTTTGGGGTCCAGCTCTTGCTTCTCACCATGGTCCATCGGCACTGCAACCTCCAAGTTTTAAATAGGGGTCTGAGTACTTCATAGTGGTATTCCTTGGTGCTCCCGCTTATAGTTGGAGTATAAGCCCTAAGCCCTAAACCCTAAACTTGGTCTATGAAGTGAGGCCCTTTTCTTAAAGTCCCATAAGCTACAGGTTGCCCTACAACCCAGTCCTACGCAGCTTGAAACCTTAAAGCAGACAGCAACTCTAAATCCTATAACACCCGGTAAAGCCCTGTAAGCCATGTAACGCCCCACTCACGCCCATGTATCTTCAATGGGCTTATTCCTATTTCCTATCATAATTTCTCTGACACCCCGAGCCCTAAACCCCCTAAACCCGAAACCCAAAGCCCTAAACCCTAAACCCGAAACCCAAAGCCCTAAACCCCATAAACCCTAAACCCGAAACCCCAAGCCCTAAACCCCATAAACCCGAAACCCTAAACCCATAAATGCCAATCCCCAAATCCTAAACCACCCTGATCCCCACTGGTAGCCCTAAACCCTAAACCCCACTGGAAGGACCTGGATGGCCGCACCGAGGCCCCGTTTGTGGGATGATGTCGCTTGAGGAAATGCGGAGCTTTAAGTTAGGAACCCCAAAAGGACATAAGCATAAGCATTGTTATAGGGATATCCCGACCTTATTGGGCTTCATTAT